CAATGATTGGCTGACAACAGAAACACAGTTCTATACAAAAGCCTCCGGGCTCGATCTCCAGAATGCCCACCTATATATATATATATATATATATACAAACAGTGAGCTAAAGCCTAGTGAATAATTACAGAGTAAAGGATTTAATGAATGATGTCCATCACAGAGTTAGAAATCAAATTCTTATCAGAAACAGATTCATATACATATTCGTAATCATTTCCACATTCAAATTTTGCATATAATCATACGTGGTACATCCCTTAGCGTTAACAAATCCGATGGCCCATAAAAGGACGGCCTTGAAGGCATTTTGATGACTCATGTGCACAGAGACATTTCTGATGACCCATAAAGGGACCTGATGACCTATAAAGGGACCTGATGACCCATAAAGGGACGCATATCAGATGATGCTAAGGATGCCACGAATAACTTTCAGAATCTTGGACAACCATTCATTCATTTCAAATATAACATGGCATTTCAGAGAACTAATTACTTCGTATCATAATATTCAGAAAATACTTAACATTAAACATAACTTTACAAAGTTATTACTCACAGATGATTGGTAGCCCTGACTAGATGGTAAGGCGGCCCTTCACTTGTTCTGAGGCGCGTGACCTACATGAACACACATACGAACACACACTTGAAACACACGTTCGAATTGTACATAAATTATATCGTTTGCTCTTAGTGTGTTTCTAACCCTTAATTCTCATTACTATGTCTTAAGTAAGGCTTAGGAATGCCCAAGATGCAATGAGGATGCCAAAACATGCATTGGGACACTTAGGCAAAATTTCTGAAAATGAGGTCCCCGCTCGAGCGTAGCTTTCCTCGCTCGAGCGGACATGCAAAATAAGAGGAGTCGCTCGAGCGTGACTTCCTTCACTCGAGCGACCTGCAAACTTGGAAAAAGTACTGGTTGGTCGTAATCCACGCTCGAGCTACAACTCCCATGCTCAAGCGAATCGACAATATGCAAAGGGTTCGCTCGAGCGTCCAAGTGGTCACTCGAGCGGAGAGCTCATGTCTGAAAGAAAAATACTGAGAGTTCGCATTCTCCGCTCGAGCACAGGTTTCCTCACTCGAGCGGACTGTGAAATTTTGGATTTTTCAAAACAAATCTTGAGCTTAAAAATATGATTTCCATGGCTATACTCATGCATGGCTTGTTTTTAATGCTCAAAAACCTTTCTAAAATATGAACACTTGGTTGTTTACAAATTCTTTTGCTCAAAACTCATGAATTTACCAATTTGAACTCAAAAATTCTTGCATGGAAGATTTTCAAACTATGTTCTTGATTTTCTCAAAACATGCGAATGATGATCAACAACCTCATGAATTTTGAAACTATGAACATGCCCAAAAACTTACATGCATGCAAGGACTTCAAAAACCAAACTTAAGATAGTAAAATCAGAGGTGTTCTACCACGAATACATATGCAAATCATTTACATGCCCAAAGACCCACTTCTCTTGCTAAATTCATGAAATTGGTTCTAAGATGAGTTGAAATCATGATGCATGGCGGAATAGCTACAGAATTCAGACATAAAATCCTTACCCAAAGCTTTGATTTCAGAAACATGAGATGAATCTCCCAAGTTTTCTTCTTCTTCTGCTTCAAACTCTTGAGCTCACACTCTCACCCTCCAGCTAAACTCTCTAACACAAAGGACCAAATAAGCAAATTACTACATTCCCTCAGTCAGCTGAATATACACAACACACACCTCACTTTGAGCACACTACACGTGCACACACATGCAAACTTCCAACACACACACATACAAGGGTTTTAATCCCCTATACTCAACCCCACAAGAAGCCCCAACACATTATACACTCAATCACATCTTGGATCATTAATAGGATTAGATTAGGTACCAATCATGCATTATTTAAATCAAACATAAGTAACCTTAACTTATTCAGATTAACATGAAATTCAATTAATCTAAAATGATCCCCACCAAGGCTTGACTTAATCACATGCGATATATTTATTTATTTTTTTTATATATTTTTAAACCGAATTAATTTTTAATAAAATTTGCCATGGTGTTCTAAAAATTCCAAATAACACACTAATGTACCTAATTCCGATTTCAGATGCCGATAAGGCTTTCAATCTTTATACTAAAGTAGATTTCTAGACAGATATTCCACCAGTAACAGATAGGAAGCCAAAGGTCATGCAAATCACATAATATACCCATAATTTATTTTATTCACTTATTTAGCATCCTTAATTACTGATTATTGACTGATTACGGATCGGAGTTGTTGCATAGCTAGAACTTAAGTGTGTCAATAGAAAGTTACAGATACGTCAGCCATCCCCTTTCAATGTACCCAAAAAATAAATGAATGCCTTAATTATTACTTTGACAATAATTTTGTATTTTTATGTCTATTTATATAACATTAAAAATATAGCTTAAAATGCAAATATAGAGGTCCAAATCATTCCATAATGATGGCCAGGGTGGGGGACTAGGTTACTGAGCAAAGATAGCATGGACATATAGAAATGGACACAAGAAAAAATCAATGTGAAATTAAGGACTCTTCAACGGGCAGCAGAGCAGAGGAAGATTCCAAGGGAGACACAGTAATTGTGATAGCACATAAAAGTGTGTATGTAAATGCAAAATAAAGGACAATAATATGTTTATATATGAAAACAGACCATATAATATTCCCATGTACCCAAATATAAATCCAAAATCCACGTACATGCATACATATGTATGTGCAATAGATTGTTTGGGCAGGAATGGTAGGTGTGATCAAAGCATCTATACACATTTTTATAAATGAAAAAGTTAGGGCTAATTATATCGACCATCTTTAAAATATGCACTTTGTTATATTTTAATTTTAATAATTTGGTCTGTTAATTACAAAATTCGAGTTTCAATGATGGCAGCACTAACACTATCAAAATTGATTAACGAAGTTTTTGAAATTTTACATCAACAAAATTAAAAGGACCAAATACGTATATTTATTCACAAAATAATATATGCACTTTGTTATGTTTTTATTTTCAAATATGCACTTCGTTGCATTTTGAACCACAATCTTTTAGTTTATTACTTTTTTTATTATAAATGTTTGAAAATACATCAACTTCTGTAATTTGGATAGTATAGGGACTATCTAAACTCACATTTTATAATATAATAAAATTGACTAAATTAAAAAACTAATAACTAAAATATTTAAAAAAACATATTTGTAGAGATTATAAGTACAATTTTTCTAAAAATTATAAATAATTCTAATATATTACACCAAACATTTACAATATATAAACCAAAAAAAAAAAAAAACGAGTACATCAAACAATCTCATTTCTTGGACCAATGATCACTTCTCTTCAATTATTGTTGTTTCTCATCACAGAACACTAATAACCATTACATCATTAAAAATCTCAAACAAATAAAATACTGAAAAAAGTAATGTATAATTTAGATTCAACACCAGAAAGCCTAAAAATCCAAAATAATTTGTCAAAAATTTGCTTAGAAACTTGATGTGTGATTTAGATTTGATTCACATTTGAAATAAATCTCAACCATTCAAAATCTTTTTTGGATATTTTTTTGAACAAAGTTTCTGAATTCTTAGGGTTCGTTTGGGATGTGAATTGGCTTTTTAACTTTTTGACAATTTTAGCTTAGGGCTAAAAAGTCTCGTTTGAGATGAGTTTTTTTGACTTATTTGACTTTTGTGGGAGAAAAAAATAAAATGAGTAGTGACATTTTATCAATTCAAGCACTCCTGTCATATTATCAATTTTATCAATTTATTTGACTTTTGAATTTGTTGACATTTTATCAATTTTTTGGCTTATTTTTTTTCTTTTTCAATTATCAATTCAACTAAAAAAAAAGGTCAAAGTTTATTCAAAACATAACTTTTTTAATTAAGCCAAAATAATATTGAAAAAAATTAATATAAATTAGTTTTTCTTAAACGAGGACCAACATTGCTTATCACTTTAATTTCTACCCAAGCACTCCTGTCTCAAATGCTTCATAACGCGGGCCGGCGGGGGTGGGTTCGTTTAAAATAAAAAAATGTTTTGAATTTTAATTTTTTTATCAAATAGATAATTAAAAGCACTCTTGTCTCAAATGCTTCATAACACGGGCCAGCGGGGTGGGTTCATTTAAAATAAAAAATGTTATGAATTTTAATTTTTTTATTAAATAAATAATTAAAAGTGTTAGATGAATGTGAAATGTAAACTCCACACCCATATAAGTTATTTGATTATTTATATAATAAAAATTTGATATCTTTAACATTTTCTAAAAATAAAATTAAAGAGACAGAAAATCTCATGGGATTTGATGATGTGTAGTGATAAGGATAAAAAGGGAATTTCAAAGAGAGCCGTACAAATGCAGAGAGAGAGAGAGAGGGGGAGGGGAGTAGACAAAGAAAAGGGTAGGAAGCAGAGGGAAGAGAGGGGCAGTTCGGATTGAGAATTAGTGTGAAAGGCACGAGACAGAGTGAGACCAACACCAATAAATGAATGAATATAAGAGAGAGAAAGAGACAGAGAGTCTGTATCTATCTGTGTGTACACATACATACATACATACACACACAAGTGTGATGAGGCTTATGATAACCCTCTCATGATCGTCACGTCGTTTTTGATGCGCTCCTCCCAATAACCCCCTCTTCTCCCTCCCAGAATTCCACGCCTCTCTTTCTCTCTCCAATTGCTTTCTCTCTATCTCTCTCTTTTGTATGTCTTCCAATTTGAGAGATTGAGGAGGAGAGATTGATTGTAATAGGAAGAAGCCCCAGTCAACCTCATGTCTTCCTCACTTTGTTCCATTTTAAACCAACACCATTCCCTCTTTCTCTCCCTATTCTTCTTTCTCTTTCTAGTGTTCTATCTCTTCTTTTTTTTTAATTTTTCTTCATTTCTTCTCTTTTTTATTTTTTTTTCTTTTTTATTTTTTTCATTTAATTACTCACATACCCACAAATCCCCACTCTTCACTCTTCACTCTTTCACACTCACTCACCCTATATATAAATATAAACCCTTTTCAACCAAAACTGTCTTCTATTACCATCATCACACTAAACCCTTTAGTGACTAGCAAATAGCTCAGACACAGAGACACATATATATATATAGAGAGAGAGAGAGAGAGAGAGAATGTGGATGATGGGTTACAGTGATGGTGGAGAGCTCAACTTCTCCGATTCATTCAATGGCAGGAGGCTCCGCCCTCTGATTCCGCGACCAGCTTCTTCTATCTCCTCCACCACCACTTCCACCACCACCAATCCTCCATGTTTAAGCCGTCTTCATGGCTCTGATCTTCTTGCATTCAATCACCATCTTTGTAATCTCTCTCTCTCTCTCTAATATGACTCAACCATTATGCCACTTAGTCTGTCGCTTAAAACCCACCAAGAAAATTTAAAGAAAGGCCACAAATTTTCAAAGACTAGTTATGAAATTGAGTCTCATTTTGATGTTTATTGTGTGTAGCATATGGGTTGAGCTTATAGATGCTTTATATTCATGGGTTTGTTGAGAATTTGTTGTTTGTTTCAGCCACTATGACTGATCAAAACAAGAGAGACTTCAATCCACACCAGGTTGTAGTGAGTTCGCGCTGGAATCCAACGCCGGAGCAGTTGCAGACACTCGAAGAATTGTATCGGCGTGGCACTCGAACGCCTTCTGCAGACCAAATTCAGCATATCACAGCACAGCTTCGCCGATATGGAAAGATTGAAGGGAAAAATGTGTTCTACTGGTTTCAAAATCACAAGGCTAGAGAACGTCAGAAGCGCCGCCGTCAACTTGAATCTGTCTCCTCCGATGACCTTTGCCTCGATGTCGAAAATATCGAAAGGAAAGAATCAGGTAAAAAAAAATTACATCATAATCACCAATATTTCCCTCTAACAGAGCAGACCATAGTTTTAAATAACAGTATAGAAATATGTGTTAGTGTTAATACGGTGACACATCAGTCGATAGCAGTATCAAAACTCTAAGATCCTATTACGTAATTGCCAATTTTTAAAACTTTGCATAATGCTATCACTTGTGCAAAATATAGAATCAAAATTTTAAATACATCAATATTGGCATTCGTGGGTTTGGACCGACTTGTATTCATCGGGAGTTATCAATATTCACTGATAAATGAATCAATATTGTTTGATATTGGCTCATATATGACATTATTACAAATAATGTTACTTAAAACCATGTATATAGGATACAAACGAGAGAGAGAGAGAGAGGGGGGTGGGGGAGAATGTTTTGATACGTGTGGTTTCTTTTTTCCATCTTCTTTTTGTTTGTCATTTGAGATGTGTAAAGTTGTATGCATTGATGTTTGATTTGTAATGTGTGGGTGTTTTAAATTTAAATCTTATATTGGCCATAGTGTTTGTAGTCTGAGATGTAAAGTTGAATTCTTTTTGTTTTTGTTTTTGTCGAGTGATAACAGGGGCAAATAGGACAGGTTATGAAGTTGAACAGACCAAGAGCTGGGCACTTCCTACAAACTGCAGTACACTATCAGAGGTCTCTCTATATTTACCTTCCTTTGTCTTTCTCTCCACACAGCTCTCCATATATACATACATGCATACATACATACGTACGTACATATAATAATAATACAGTCTAGTCTAGTCTAGTCCTTTTTAAACATAGAGAGAGCATGCCAAGCCAAGCCACTGACTTTTTTGTGAGGACAATTAGAATCAACTAATCATGTAATAATTACACATATGATTATCATCAGTTCATGAAAGTATATACATTTAAATATATATTAGAAAGATAGATAGTAGATTGATTAAAAGGAAAGGAAGATTTCCAGAAGAAGCAAGAAAAGCTATGTATGTTTGTTGGGAAATGAAAAGTGTGCTCAAAAGCTGCATTCCTTCCTTTCTGTCGGGGCTGGCTGCTGCTGCTACTTGCTGCTTGCTGCTGCATGATGTTGTTATGAATCAAAGCTATGGTTTTTGGGGCTTGTTCTTGCTTATAAGTTATATTCATCTCATTTTGTTTGGACATGGGGCACCCAAAAGTTCATCCCCATTAAAATTTGGAAAATGGTTTCCAAAAAATTTCATCTAATAAATGGTGTGGTAATAGTATTTTCAAAATATGGATATAAATTTTTCATATTATTATGTATTTTTTTTTGTTTATATAGTATTACTCTTGGTTTCTTGAGAAGCCATTATTTCTTACTAGGAAAAATATGTTCTTACAAAAATATGTATACAGAATTCATGACTAGAATGATGTGAAAGTATCATTTGTGAAAATATAGATCGCCATTTTAGGTCTTTTTGCTTTAAATGATATAATCAACACTTCACATATCATTCTGTATCATTTTTTCATGTTTGCATAAAATTACTATTTTGATTAATTGATTTAGGGTAGTCATTTAGGCTCATGCGAAAATAAGGGTTTGCCCAAAGTAGTACTCATAGATACAGGTATTTGCTATTAAGTGATAGATTAGACACACAAATTTATGTAGTTATTTATTTATTTATTTATTTTGTTGGCTCTAAATTGTATCAGAAAACTGTTTCAACAACACAAAGGGCAGCACCAAAAGCAGCGGCAGCGGTACCAGAATGTGGAGCAGAAGATGGATGGGTACAGTTCGATGAGGAGGAGGGAGAATTACAGCAGAGAAACTTGGTAGAAAGGAATGCCACGTGGCAGATGATGCATTTGTCTTGTTCACCACCTCCCACCCACCTCATAAACCCTAGTACTACTACTACTTCAATTGTCACCACTACCACTACTACTAATACTATTCCTAATTCAGAAACAATAACTATGGACCCAAACCTCATAAAGACTTCTCGAGAAGACCTGAACATCTTTGTAGCACCCTACAGAGATCAAACAGGCCGTAGGGCTTCTCAAACACTCCAACTTTTCCCTCTCCGGAGCAGCCGTGACGGTGACGAAAACACCGACAACGAGGCCAAGATGTCGGCAGCAGCCGCAGCGGCCATGAACCCTAACTTCACTCCTTACCAGTATTTTGAGTTTCTCCCACTAAAGAATTAAATTATGAATGAAAAAAGGAAAAAGAAAGAAAAAGCATGAGCCATGTGGGAAGCTGAAAAGAGTGAGCTTTCAGTTTGCTATTTATGTAAAATGATGGATTGTGTTTAGATTTTGTATTGTTGTTGGAAAACAAGTGATGCTTTAAATGTTGTGGATGTAAACATTTCATGAAGGGGGGTGAAATGGTAAGTATGTGGGTATGAAAGAAGGTTGCCTTAAAATGCATTTGGACCATGTTGGGTTGAATCAATGAAGAACTTAGTTATAGTAAATATCACAGGACCTATATAGTAGAAGGCATAGGCCTCGTTTGAGTAACAAGATGTGTCATGTTTGCTTAGAGAGAGAGAGAGATTGAGAGAGAGAGAGAGAGATTGATTTTTCGAATGAAATAGGTCTGAAATGGAAATTAGATATGAGGGTTTGACGTTGAAATATGGGATCTGAAGTTGGATGGTGAAGTGACTTGGTATGTGGGTTGAAGAATTCTATGTTATCCTACCTCATTATTCCTTTATTTATTTGTTTTCTAGTTAAGTTTTGCCCTACTGTTAATCATAGGGGAAAGCTTATGTATAAAATATAGTCTCAACTAGCATTCTCTCTTTTCAAATTTATTTATTTCAAAACACTAATAATAATTGGATTATTCAAAATTTAGAGTGCACTAATCTTAAAATATGATTTGAGAGTATCATTATCAAACTCATTAGAATTTTCTTTTGGCTATTTTATAGTACAAAATCATAAAAATATATTTTATCCAACTCAATTATTGACTAGCTAGTTTAGTTAAATATCAAACCACTAGCTAGATGTAGTAATGGAAAGAGAACTTAACAAATGAAATAAAAAAATAGAAAATTTGTCGAAAATTGTATTTGAAAAGATAGATTAGCAAAAATAGAAACAAAAAAAAAACTTTTAGTTAAAATTTAACTAAGAATTTGACTATTTTGATGAAGAGTTCTAACAGTTGCAAATGTTTTGAAACAAACAAGAAAAAATTGAAGATATACGATCCTGTGTTAGAATAGTCTATGATAATGAAAACTCTACTTACAATGAAATGTGAAGTGTAGTTAAAATTTAATTAGTGTATTATGAAATTTATGTATAGAATTAATTTGAATCATCCATTCATGTTTTTCGATAAAAATCTGGGTATATAAATATTACTGGAATGATACATACATACATTTGGTACCTTGTATAGAGTAGGAAGGCTAACTCTCATAAATGTTAATTTAACAATTGATTTTCGCCAATCAATATATATATATATATACATTTCAACGAGTGCTAAGAAACCAAAATTGGCAATATAGTGACAACGCATAAAAACATAGCTTAGCTTGTGAGTGAATACCCAAAGAATAATATATAAAACTTGCAGTTATATATTTATTTTCTTAGCAAAAAAGGGTAAGATGTTGATAGTAGGTCAGAGCAAAGTGTACAACTAAAAAAAAGGTATAATTAATTAATTAATTAATTTAAAAAAGAAAAAGAAAAAAAGAGATGAGATGGTGAGCAAAGGTGAAACATAAAAGAAGAAATTCATATGGCTTTCATTTTCTTTTTTTAGCATTAAAGACATTTGTGTGATACTAGAAAGACTTTGGAAAATTTAAAACCAGTCTCAAAGAAAGATGAGATATCTGCTCAAATGGTCTGGTGATCTGTTTGGTTTGGGTGGATGTATGGCTTAGATGTCTAGCTGTTTGGTGTTTGTTTTGTGTTGTCTCTTCGTTGGTCTCTCACCAACTCTGGGGGTGCTAGCAAATAATAGGATGAGCTTTTTAGTGCCAACCTAGTTGGGATCAATTAGCTCATTGTGATACGGTGCACTTCTATTCCTTTATTGATGTAATATGCTTGTTACCTTGTACTTGTTTATTCCATCAATAAAGTTTCTTTTGTCGATAAAAAAAAAAAAAAAAATTTGCTCAAATCAATAGAAGCTTGGGATGTGTTGCTTTTGCTATGATGTGTTTTTTTCGAGTGCTCTTCTCATTGCCATATTCTTGCTGTTTTGAATTTTTAAAGTAATTATTGAGAGACAATTTTATTATTTATATTATATTTTTAACACATTTTTTTATGAATGGTTGAACTTTTCTTCGTGTCTTGAATTTTTAAAACTCAAGCTACTAGAGAGAGAGAGAGACAACTTTATTATTTATATTATATTCTTAGCACATCTCTTTACGTGTGATCAAACTTTTCTTCGTATTTTGAATTTTTAAAGTTCAAACTATTAGAGAGAGACAATTTTATTATTTATATTATATTCTTAACACATCCCTTTATGTATGGCTGAACTTTTCTTTGTAGCAAGCCAAATTGAATTTTTAAAGCTCAAGCTATTAGACAGAGAGAGACAACTTTATTATTTATATTTATATTCTTAATACATTCATTTATGTATGGCCGAACTTTTCTTTGTAGTGGACCAAATAGTGCAAACATTTTTTAATTATCATGTTCATGTAATCGGTGAGATTCGAACACAAGATCTTTTGCCTACTCCAATACTCTATTAAACTATTGACTACCAATCATCATATAATAATCCAAAAATGGCAATAGAAAAGAAAAAGAGAGGTTTGTGATGATTTTTAAATCTTTTCTACTAGGTAATCTAGTATCCTTATGCAGGAAGATAATCAATTCTCTCTGCTACGCTTTGTTTTGCTCAGTTGTGGATGCAATTCTGTTACTCTTGTCTTGTTTGTTGGTTTCTCATCAACTAGAGTTTGGAGCTTCAGTTAATTTCAAGCTCTTCTTTATTGATGTTCTGTATCTTATTTTGCATGCTTTTATCAATAAAGATTTTTTTTTGCCAATCAAAAAAAAAAAAAACTCATATACAAAATTAAACTGTTAAAAGGAGAATCAATTTTATTATTTCTATTATACACACAACCTAAATCAAATAATAAATAACAATAAATCATTGCTGCAATTTACACTGAAAAAAATCCATGTAAGGTCAGATTTGATTTTGATAGCAATCAGCTTTGCTGTTGTGGTAGATTAGTGATAAAACCAATGTGAAAAACAATATCATAGATAAGATTTAAAAATGAGAGTTAATGAAAAGGCATTGGAGATTCCCGCTAGTTTAATCATTGATGGGATGAAAATATTAGCGGTGAGTTTGATTGAGAGATTTAAAAGGTAATTTAAAAAAGAAAAAAAATATATACTAAGTGAAATATAAATAAAATATATTTATATTTCATATAATTTCATATATTTTTTTTCTTTCTCTTTCTAAATTCTTTCACAAATTTCTCAACCAAACATAGCATAAAGAAAGATTTACATATCATCGGTAAGAAGAAAAAAAAATTAAAGTGACAAACATTAATAATTAAAATTATAGATATTTTTTTGTAATTTTTTCTTCTGCATCCTATTGGATTGTAATTCCAGTATACATAATTTTTATATATAAAAAAAATCATACGAAAAATGATATAACAATGGCATTTATGCAATTATGGCCCCATTTGAAAATAGGTTATTTTAGTTAATTTTTTGGTTTTTTAACCATTTTAGTTTGGCTAAAAGGAGTTGTGTTTAGAATGATAGTTGGTTTTTTTTTTTTTTTTATTTGATAGTTGCAAGAAAAAAAATAAAATACTTATAATTTAAATGTGACATTTTATCTAATTAACCATTTTAACTTATTTAATTATTTTAGCCCAAATCATACTTACCAAACAGAGCCATGACTTATAGTGGTGGACTTTATTATTTGCAATGAATAGAGTTTTCCTCCAATGAGTATATCATTCTCTATTAGAAAATAATTGTATAAAAATTTTATTTATATAACATTAACCTTGATTCAAATAGAAAAGAAGTTCGACTCTACCACGGAATGTGCTGTAGGATATTTCTTTCAAATTAAAAATTCAGAAATTTTACACCAAAAACATCAAAAAGAATTTATAAATAAAGATATAATGGCTAGGATTGGAAATAATTAGACCTACAAAGGAACTGAGCTATTTTTGGATTGTTTGAGTCCAACTAATTTGAAGTCTATTTGAGTTTAACGCATTTGTTAAATGAATGAATTTTAACAAAAAATTTTAACTTGTTTAATAATCGAATTAAGCTTAGGTAGACCAAAACTCAACTCAAGTAGGTTTGCGAACACAAACATATATCAATTAAATATTTATTTTAAATAATATATGAAAATATTTTGATTAATATATTTTACTTTTGTTGGAGTTTAGTGTTTGTGCAAATTTATATACGCAATTGATGAAACTTATTCATAATATGATTTTTATATTTTGTTCCTTTTTTTTTTTTAATGTGCAGGTTGATTTAAGTAATTAAATTGACGAATTTAAGTTTCTCAAGTATTGGTCTAACACTCTTCACTTGGTCTAATAACCGAGGTGGCGACGCTTTGGTTCGGGAGAGATTGGACCGTGGGTTAGCTAATGATGCTTGGCAACTCTTGTTTCCCCATGCAAAGGTTTATCCTATGGCTTGCACATCCTCCGATCATCTACCTATTTGTGTTGACCTTTGTCGGGCTAAGGAACAACGTCAATCTCATGCTAGTGGTCATCGCATGTATCGGTTCAAAGCTATGTGGTTACGGAATGCAAGTTGTGAGCAAGTAGTTGTCGATAATTGGCTGCCCCCTCCTACTGCGGATGTTCGGAGTTTGGTTTCTAATATTTCACATGTAAGTTCTTCGTTGAGACGGTGGGAACGTAATGTGTTTGGGTGTGTCAAGCGGCAGTTGAGGGAGAAAACTGATCACCTATAGCGGTTGCTTAAGCTGAGTTCCAATTTTCCAGAAGATGTCACAGAAGTGTGTAAGCTACGATGTGATATTGATGAGATTTTAGAACGGGAATCTATTTTTTAGGGTCAACATGCTCGAGCTAATTGGCTAAAGGATGGGGACCGTAATACTTCTTTTTTTCATTCTAAGGCCACCCAACGTCATAAGAAGAAGAAGATTGATGGGATTGTTGATCCTAATGGAATTTGGCAGGAGGATCAAAAAGTGGTGGAGGACAACTTTGTGAATTACTTTCAGGAGTTATTTTCGACGGGTGAGGGACTGAATATGGGCCCAGTTTTGCAGTTGATTCAGGTGAGAGTT